TTCCATGTAGCTACAGTTTAAGAAGCATTGCTGATTGCACCCCCATGGTGTTCCTTAACATGGTCCTCTCTTCTCTACAGTTAATGTAATTCACAGTTAGGTCTAATGGTTTGATCAGAGTTAGGGGAAATTTTTTTCAGATTACTTCACATATAGAGTTGTTAACTCCCTGCTTTAGATCACATTTGTACAAGGTCTGTTCAAAAGGTACCTAGCCATGTAATATGAAAAATAGAGACATTTATTGAAGAAGATACAAGAAACATTGTACCTAGGACAATGATGGCTCAGTCCCCTTCAAAGTAGGCACCTTAGGACCTTACACAGTTCTCTCAGTTGCCATCAGCTGTCCCATCTAATTTTCCTGAATCTTTTTGGTGGCCCAAAGTTTCTTCCCTTTCTAAGGTGATTTTAGTTTTGGGAAAAGGCAGAAGTCACAAGGTGCCAAATCTGGGCTGTAGGGGGGCTGAGTGACTTGATGTTTTGTCAAAGAACTCTGCACAAGATGTGATGCATGAGCAGGCGTATTGTCGTGATGAAGCTGCCTATCACCATAGCTGAGGCCTTTTGAATCATCTGGATAATTTCCATGGAGGAATGTTCAAGCTTAACACAAAATTTGATGCAGATTTGTTGCTCTACTCAGTCATTTTGAATACGATGGCCACTCAGTCCACATGCTCACTCAACAGTGTCTGCCACCCCCACTGACTAGTACAGTGAAGTCGTCATTGTTCATGCGCATGCATTCCAGCCCACTCTCCTTGGCTGCCAGGTCACATCAATGTTGTGCAAACCATTCTCGTTATAGTAACTGTGGCTGGGCCTTTTCTGGATAGACATCATATGTCTTATCTCTTAATGCAGCGCCTGGAAAACAGATCGGTCATTATTTGCATACCAAAGAGCAAATTTCTTGCCCAATATTATTCCATATTTTTCTAACTGTTTTTAGCATAACTACTGTATACATCCTTAGTTTTAACACTTTGAACCCAAATTTTCAGCTGAAGCAAACATGAGTCGGTGACTGGAGTACACTAAACTGGAGTGTTAGTGTCCATTAACTTCTTACCACCTTCCAAGGGATTCACACCCATTTGCTCTGCCCACATAGATGAAAGCATAGGCTACCTAATTCTGGGGTGACTTAAGATGAACTTGGGAAGGACCCCTACCTGAACCCCCCACTGCTTCCTATACTGCTGGAAACTCCACCAGCTGAGATCTTGTTCCTTTGTATTTAAGGCATCAGTTCTCTAGTTTACTAGATTTAAAGTAGAAGTGCTCCTGAGAGTGACATATTTGCACATTTTCTGTTACTAGCATCTCACTGGCTGTATTAGTTCCCTAGGTGGGCTGTCGAAAAAAGTACCACCCAGCTTGGTGACTTAGAACAACGGGAGTTCATGCTCTCACAGTTCTAGAGGTTAGAAGTCCAAAATCAAGGTTATTGGCAGGACCGTGCTCCCTTGGGAAGTTCCTAGGAAAGAATCCTTCCTTGCTTCTTCCACTTCTGACAGTCGCAGCCATTCCTTGGCTTCTGGCAGCCTCACTCCAGTCTCTGCTTACCTCTGTCTGCACATGGCCTTCTTCTGTGTGTCTTCTTGTCTTCTAAGAGGAGGACACCAGTCATTTAATGTAGGGCCTTTGAGACCCTTAACTAATTTATCTTGAGACTCCAACTAATTACATTTGCAAAGACCTTAATTCCAAATAAGGTCACATTCTGAGTTTCTAGGTGAACGTGAATTTGGAGAGGACACTATTCAGCCCTCGATACTGGCCATATATTTTTGAACTAGGTTGCTGAGGAAGGGGGAGGAGGGCAGAGAGAGACCTGGGGCACAGTTAACTGTTCGCCTGAAGCCCCACATAGGGAGTTTGTGTAATACAAGGGCGTGGTGGACTGGCATAATGGGTCAGCACCAAAGCGGGAGAGAGCCCTGCAAGGGCAGAGCCAGGAGGCCCTGCAGTGACTCACACTGGCTCCACCATCTGCCCATAACCAGGTGTGTCGTCATCCTTCCCCCTCCACTAATCCTGAATCAAGGTGCAGTTTTCCACAAACTCCATCTCACCTGTTGTAGAAATGCTCTGATAATTTCTGTCTGGCCACTGTACAGCTCACTGCCTGATGATTTCTGGGGCACCACCTGAATATTGTTCTTAAATTAATAAAATTCAGTAGTGCTCATTTCTCAACATCTCAAAATCATGTCTACCGAAATGTACTCCTTTTCTTTTTCCCCCCCACTTCCTTCAGAATCTGTACTGGGGGGTAATGGAGAGCAACATGCCTATCATTTGAGAATACACATTCTCCTCAGTCCATGCAGCTGTAGCTTCATAATTATCAGGCAGCCGATTTCCTAGATTGGTCAAGAATTTAAAATATTGATGACTTTACCCTTGACTCCTTTGGCCTCACTTTTCTTCCAATGCCTTCCTTGGCGTATTGCATTTGCCAAATTAGTTGAGTGCCTGTTGTGTGCAGGTTGCCATGGAGACAGAAAGAGGAGCACAGCACGTTCCAGTCTACGAGGGCCTCACAGTCCAGCACTGGACGTGGCCCAGGCGTACAGCCACGTGGCTGCACGTCCAAATCTGTGTGGGAGAGAGGAGGGTCCTATTTAAGGTTTGGAGAGAACCCTCCTGAAGCCCATCTTCTTTGATGCATGTGGACCATGACATCCCTTTCTGACCCCTAGACCCCTTCGTTCTGGAGACAGGGGTGACACAGGAGGAGGTAATGGCCCTTTTGTGCCTCCTCGTGTCCTGAGAGAAGGATCTGAACATCGGTACTGACAACTAGCATTTGGTAAATGCTACCACCCATGAGGTGTGTCCTAAGTCTGTGATACGCACGATTCAGGTGCTCCTCACTCCATCTCTGTCTTTCCAGGTGATGTAACGAAAGCACACAGAGACTAAGTAAGGTGCCCGAGCCCCAAGGCCACACAGCTGGAAGGTAGACCCAGACTCTGTTTTCCCTTGGAAATCAGGGCTCTGGCTATTTGCTCCAGCGCCAGCTGGTTCTACTCAGCCCCCTAAAAAGCCCTCGAAAGAGAGAACTTGCCTTTATCAGTAAAGGCAAGCTAGCCTGAGGCCCAGAGTGAGCCCTCTCAAAATGAAAGAGGAGGCTCTGAGGACCCCGGCTCAGGCTCCAGAGAGGACAGGTGACAAGGGGCCAAGTCTGAGCCACCTGTAGATTCGCAGGCGATTCCCGTTTCCCCGGCACCATTTACTCAGCTCTCGTCACCGCACATCGATGGTGGGGCCCAGGCTGGTTGAGAAGGGGAAGAGGGATGAAGACAAGGCCTGTGGTACCCTTCCACCTGGAGTGGCGTGGGGATGGCAGCAAAGGGGAGGAAGAGGGTGGAAGCAAGGCCCCTGTCCTGGAGGCCCGGGGAGGGGAGGAGTTCAGGAAGAAGGGTGTCATCATAGGTCCCCTTGAGGCAAAGCAGGCCAGGAAGATAAGACTGGGAAACGGGCACCCACCCTGGATTTTAGGGCACTTGGAACCTTCAGTAAGGCTCACTGCTTAAAGTGTCGTGAGTGGGAGGGGGAGTCTGACCATGGTGGGGCCCGTGGCAGGGGGTGAGTGGAGGCAGGGACAGCCTTAAGGATTGGCTGCTCCTTGCGGCAGACTGAGAATGAGAGGAGGAACGGAGAGCTGGAGAGCTGGTGGGGGGCCCGTCAAGGCACGGCAGGGTCCGAGACGTTCTGTGCGGACACATCGTGGGGCTGGATGGCGGAGCGCAGGCCCGGAGGCGGGCGACGGGGAGCAGGAAATGTCTGGAATCCCAACAACGGGGCAGTCCAGCGGGGCACATCCATATGGTGGCCTATTTTGCAGCTGTGAAAAATTACATTTTTGAAAGGTATTTAACAATATGAAAACTATTTAACATGAAAAAAAATTCCCATAAAATAATACAGGGAAAAGAAGGATAAAAAACTATGTTACTCTTGTAAGCATCTTAATAAAGAAATGTACTCATTTTCCAATTTGAAAATAAAACTATGTTATGATCCAATTTCCTTGAAAATATGTGCATATTTACACTGGCAGGAAACATACCAGAATACATGTGACTCTTAAAAATTATTTTCTGTACGTTCCCAATTTTCAAAAACAAGCATGTGTTACTTTTATGATGATTAAAAGGAGTGCAGATGGCCGGTAGCCTTGCTAAACTATTGGTATTATTGTGCCGTTTATTCTGTTATCTTGCCGTCTGGAGACTGGGAAGAAATGGCTTTCCCCCAGGTGAGCCCCACGGAACAACAGAGCATTATGTGTTGACCACACGCCACGTCCCACATCTGGGCCTGGGGATGGGGTGGGAGGAGGTGGGGAGCGTGTAAAGGGCTTTAGCGTCTGGACGGGGAGAGGAAGAACCACATAAGAAAACAACAGAGCCCTGGTTCTGTGGCTTCTGCTGTTCCCAAGAGGGGTCCGTCTGTGATGCCTGGAGTTAGTGCGGAAGTGGATTTGTTCTAGAACTTGGGAGTCAAAACGCTGCAGTGAGAAGTCTGCTGCTTTGGGCTGGAGCCTCTCTGTGAACAGAGGAGGTCAGAGGCGTGCTGGTCCGGAGGAGGGAAGAGAAGAGTCCGTTCAGCTAGAGGTGGGGGAGGGCTGGGGTCCTGGTACCTGCCGGGACTGGCACGCCGAGTCCCCGAGCTTGGGGGTTCACACCGGGCAGTGCCCTGCACGGCACAGGAACCAGTGGGCCTGGAAGGATGGGCCAACTTCAGTCTCCCCCTCCACGTCTTCTCTTCATTAACTCTGGAGCAGGGACGGTACCTGAGATGACAAGAGGAGAGGAAGGGGGTGGGCAGAGCTCGAACAGTGATAAAGCCTGGGGACGGGGAGGAGCAGGAAGAGGTACCTGCTGTCAGACAGCCGTTGGCTCTAATTAGCCAGCGGGAAAGAGGGCCAGGGGTGCCGTCTGTCATCCGCAGGCATGAGTCACACGGTCCCCCTCTGCTTTCAGTTGCAGACTCAAGGGTTCTCCGTCGCAGAAGCCACTTCCCTTTCCTGCCCTTCTCTCCTCCCCCTCCCGGCCCCTCTGCAATCTGGAATTGGGGCCGCGGCTCAGCTCTACCCCTCTGGGCTGCTGTGGGGGCGTTCTGGAAGACTGGCCTGCCCTGCTGGACTACGAGTGTCTCTGCCAAGAGCTGACAGAGGACGCAGGTCCCGTAAGCACATCCTTCGGGAGAAAAGGCCATGACAAGTGTCTCTCCATTTGACATCCTTCAGGCGCCTCCTCTGAGTCGGGCACGGCCATCTCCACGCACTGGAAATGGAGCAGCGGGCAGAGACAAGACTGCCTGCCTTCCTGGAGCATATAGTCTTGAGTGGGCAGAGAGGTGATGATAAGCAAATAAATAATCAGAGTGTGGAGTGCTTCAGATATTGCTAGGTGGCTGGGAGAAAACTTAAGCAGGGGATGGGGACAGAGTGTGTGGGGAAAGTTGGCTCCCCCGCTCCTGAACTCTCTTCCCTGTGCAGCCCCAGTGTCTTCAGCCAGAGGCTTTGGGCTGCCGAGAGACTTGCTACGATCAGCAGCAGCTGCCCCCCGACTCAGAACGTCATACATTCACACTGTGCCAGCGGGAGCCTCGTCTTGATCAGAGGACAGCTGGGGCACGCATGCGCTGTGCTGCCCACTAGACACTCGGGTTTGGGTGACGCTCCCCCTTTGATGTCGGAGAAGCAGATGCCAACACTCTTGAGTAAACGGAATCCCCGAGGATCAGGGCTGTCATCCTTCTCTGCTCGCAGGGGGTTGGCATCGTGAGTCCATCCCCTCCCCACACTGGGCATTGCCCTGATCGAGCAGCTGTAAGTGTGGCCATGGGACAGGCCCCCATTTGCCTCTGGCTTCCGCACTCCTCTAAATTCATCCCAGAACCAATCTACAGGGGCCTCGGGCACAGGGTGCAATTTGAGAGAAGCTGCACGCTGTCCGACCAAAAGGACCCCTCCGATGCTGTCAGGGCCAAGGCAAAGCCCACTGTCGATCCTACACACGGGGCATTGCTGGCACGGGAGACAGAAGTATTGAGAAAGAGACAAAGAGGCCACCCGGCAATGGGTAAGAGCAGGGAGCCACTAGCACGCTAGGGCTGGAGAGGCCGTGGGAGGGGAACTTGTTACCGGGACCCAGAAGCCAGGCCGTTGGCTACGGGCACTTAGTGAAACCCGGGTCCAAGATGGGAAGGCTGCCCAGCAGGCACAGCAGCACTGCTGGGGATACTCCTGAGGTAGAGCAAATGGGGAGACGGGAGACACACCCTCCCTGCTCCCTCCTCCACCTCCCAGGGCTGGCCCTGCCTCCGTGATGTTTAGTTTTATGTCAATTTGCCTAGGCTTATAGTATGCAGCTTTTTATTCAAACATTAATCTTGATGTTGCTATGACGATTTTTAGGCTTGGCTAACATCTCTAATCAGTTGGCTTTAAGTAACGGAGATTACCCTCGATAGTTTGGGTGGGCCTCATCCAATCAGTTGAAGGCCTTAAGAGCAAACACTGAGGTTCTTGAAGAAGAAATTCTACCTTAAGATTGCAGCATCAACTCCTGCTTGAGTTTCCAGCCTTACCAGCCTGCCTTATAAATTTTAGACCTGCCATTCCAACCCCCATGATCCTGTGAACCAGTTTCTTGAAATAAATCTATCAGTAATCTATTTACCATTATCTATCTTACCTTATTTTCTATCTGTTTATCTATCATCTCTACTGGCTCTGTCTTTCCAGAGAACCCTGAGGATACAGCTTCCTATTGGCCAAAACTACACAGAAACCAGCTAGCAAAGGAGTCTGGGAAATGTAGTTCCCTGTGATTCCCTGCAGAGCAGGGGAAGGCTGGGAAGTGAATGCAGTCAGCACAGTCCCTTACTTGGAGTGACGTTCAGACCTCTTCTGTTTCTTATTTCCCTCAAACACCCCTCTCTTCCCCATTTCCCAGGCGTTTGCAAAGAAAGAGCAGCTAGCATTTCTCTAGCACTTAGTATGTACCACACCCTGTACTAAGTATACTTTGCATGTATTTTCTCATTTCATTGCATTGACTATCTGGAGAGGCAGAAACTATTATTATCTCTGCTGTGCGGATGAGGAGACGGAGAGATGGCGCTGAGTGTTTAAGTGACACGCTGAGGTCACACCGCCAGGCCATGGTGGGGCTGGGAAGGCATCCCGGCCTCCTAGCTCCTCCCTTTCAGACACAGAAGGAGTCCAGGTGAAGTCCGGGAATCCCACCGCTCTGGGTTTGAATGCGGGGTCTGTTATTTACCATCGTTGTCACGTTGAGCACATCTGTGAACTTGCTCAGGTTTCGCGTGCCCATCTACGAAAGGAGGTTCTCAGGCAGAGTTGAAAGGACCGGACGAGAGTATGTCTGTCCAGACCCTCTACCCACAGGGTGGACCGCAAACCCAAAGGCAGACTCCAAGGTCCTCCTCACTCACCTTCTGTCCTTTTTCTCCCCAAAGGACTTACTGTGTATCTTTCCCTTTCCACCTCACTGCACACTGTTCCTAGTTTAATTTTCTTTCACCTAATTTATACCAACTTATTTTTGCCCGGATTGACACCCAGACACAGTGGTGGGGGCAGGGAGGGGCGTGCCTCGAACGTGTCTCCCTCAGCCAGTTCCAGGGCTGGAAGGAAACGATGCACGCTTCGCCGTGTCTGTTGCCTGGGCTGTAAGCAAGGACGCAGGCGGGAGCTTCCCCAAGCAGAAAGCCTCTTCCAGAAGCACTGAATTGACTTCCAGCAGGCTCTTCCTGGCGCCTTTCATTGAAAAAAGGGCTTGTCTGGGCCTCCTCCTGGCCCTGGAAACCTGTGTTCACAGGAGCTGCTGCTTCTGCACACAGCGCATGGGTCGTGCAATAAAACATGGCCTTTGGTTTCTTCTCTCCGCGTATTGATTACTGTTCTGAATTTTCCATTCCAGCTTTGTCCTGCTATGATTTATTTTTAAAACAGAAGCCACAGGGTGGCTTGGCTTGAGGAGGTCGTTCCTCCTCAAGCTTCTCTTCCTTTCTTTGGTTGTTTTTCATGTTTTCCCACCTACTAAGAAGAGAAAAATGGTCATAGGATCCTAGAATATTAGAGAAACAACCCAGGCCTGTATTTCTCAAACTGGAGGACATACACCTCTAGGGGTGTGTGGCCATGGAGCAGAGGGTAGTTGGGGCAGCTTCCTGGGGTAGCGTGTTAGCCAAAGATTCAGCAGAGAATATTTTTATATTAAAACAGACTGAGACTTTATTATGGAGTTGATCGCAAAATCCCCGTGAATTTTTAGGTCAAAAACAGACTTTTAACCCCCGGACTTCTGAGGGAAGGCAGGGTGAGTCCTGGGGCGTTGATGCCCCCAGGACTGAGGATTCCGAGAGCCCCACTTCTGCGGAGAGACGGAAAGTGCTTTTCCTGGCCTCGCTTCCCAGTCTCAGGTCCTCGAGGACAGGTGCCATGCCTGAGGGCCTTCTCTTTAGCTTGACTGTTTTAGCCATTTCTCTTGCACTCAGTTGCTTCCCTGTCCCTTTGATCATTTCAGTCACTTTTTGTGGCTCTCATCCCAGTTTCTTCTCCTCCTTCCACACGCGAGGTGATCACACAGAGTCTGCCCCACGGAGCACTGAGGAACGTTTGTTTCCTGGCTAGACAGCATTCAGTCGATGCCGTTTGCCGAATCCACGTGGCTTCTTCCACGATTTTTGGGTCTGCTGAAACCTGCATTCAGGTCCCATTTAGCTCTAGCCTGCCTACGATCTTGACGACCAGCGGTGTGTCTGAGTAGCTCAGTTTCATCCCTGAGTTCTGTTTCACGTGTCCACATTGCACCAGCCTGTTCTCTGTGCCCCGCTCCACTTAGTCCCGTGTGTTATATGACCCGTGGGGAGTTTTCATTATTAAAATTCTGTCATCTAGGCTACAGATAAAGATGTGTAATCTGAAGACCATCTATCCCCTTCTGGGTTGCGCGTGCGCGCTCTCCTCTCTCTCTCTCCCTCTCTCTCTCCCTCTCTCTCTATCTCTCTCTCTCTCTCTCGATTCTGAGAAAGCGGTAGACATTGGGAGGCAGAGTCTGGTTTCAACTCTGCACAGACCCAGTCTCAGTATGGCACGAACTCAGATCTGGATTCTGGTACCCCGAGTGCATAGGGGTTGGCAGGCAGCTGCGTATTCTCTGGCTGCCTGTTGGTGATGGAAGAGGTGGACTGGGGTTGAGCGAGTTTCCTCCAGCCAGTCTCCTGAGTTTGCAGCTCGTACGCCTAAGTATCCATTCGTTCGTTTAACAAGCATTTATTAAATGCCGTGGTACACAGATGTAGGCGGCACAGAACACGTTTGCCGAATAAAATTATGTGACGATGAACCTCTACGTACTGAGGTGTTGGAGCAAGGCGGGGACGTGCATGGCAGAACCGGACCCCTGCCATCTTGGATAAGAGCTCCGGGGTGATTGACCCCTGGCCTGAACCGTCGCCAGCCGGCCTGTCACTGAGCCCGTCACGTGGGGCAGCAGCAAATGCCTCGCTGAGGTCTCAGGTCGATTGCATCTATTGCTTCTACCTTATCTACATGGCCTGTCACTCTATCATAGAAGGAAATTAAATCGGTCCGACTTGATTTACTCTTTACACGGCTGTGTCCATAAGCTCCCCGGGCCTTGCCCCCTTCTGGCTGACTGCACATTGATTGCTTGATGATTTGTTCTAGCATGTTCCCTAGAAGTCAGGTTAAGCTTATCAGGCTGTAAGAAATAAGGTCGTCTTTTTCTGCTTCTTTAAAGATGGGCATCATGTTTGTTCTTGGCGACGGTCCTGAGGCAACACCCCCTCTCTGGGAAATGCTCAGAGTAATTGCTGGCCCCTCCCCAGTGGTCACTGCCAATGGCCTGCGTCCATTCAGTCGAGTGTTGTGAGTCCCTGTGGGTCTAGTTTCAGGCAGCATTTTGCAAAGGGTGATCTGCTGTATTTGAGGTATCCCGGCCCCAGCTATGTCAGATGGGGTGGGACCCCATGCGTGGAGCACAAACCCAAGCGTTAAAGACAGAGGAAGGCTCGAAGAAGCAGCCCGTGGTCATCAGCCGCAGTGGGGCTGGGCTGAGGGGAGGTCAGAAAGCCTGAGGATTATTGGGAACTGCTTCCACACGAGACAACACGTCTGCTTGTGGTTGCTTTCTGAGTGTAACCCACAGACCTGAGAGCAAAATGGAGCGTCTTTTGGTGAAGACAGAAGTAAAAATACACATTAAAACCTCTGCTATTTTGAATCCTCCTGTTACCTGCTTGCCCTCTTTGTCCAGTGGGAATGGTATTTTTCTGGGTTGTTTTTTTTTTTTAATGTAACGTAAAGGAAGAATGTTTCTGGTAAAATTTCATAAAGGCCCATCTGACCTTTCTGCCCTTGTGCCTTCTCGGCCGGGCCCCTTCTTTGTTCCTCGGCGTGTGTTCTCCCCTCCCTTCCCCTGCTGTCCTCTCCTCTGCTCTGCTCTCCTCTCCCTTCCCCTGCTGTCCTCTCCTCTCCCCTCCCCTGCTGTCCTCTCCTCTCCTCTCCTCTCCCCTCCCCTCCCCTGCTGTCCTCTCCTCTGCTCTGCTCTCCTCTCCCCTGCTCTGCTCTCCCCTCCTCTCCCTTCCCCTGCTGTCCTCTCCTCTCCTCTCCTCTCCCCTCCTCTCCCCTCCCCTGCTGTCCTCTCCTCTCCTCTCCTCTGCTCTCTCCTCCTCTCCTCTCCTCTCCTCTCCCCTGCTCTCCCCTCCCCTGCTGTCCCTACTGCATCCCTCACCTCCCCCACACGGAGCTCTCTGGACACAGCCCCATCCTGCTGCTCTCCCCGTCCCTTCTCTGCCCCGGTGTTTTTCCTGAGTCCCCTGAGCTTATTGTTTTAAGGGCACATGCTTTCCCCCCATATTCCCTTTACTCTCTGATTTTTTTTCTCTCCATTAGGTATTAAGAAAATTTTTAGGAATTCCTTCATTTTATAGAAATCTGCATTTTCAGGTTCTAAAGGGTCTCTTCTTTCTTCTTCATGACAAACTTCTACTTAGGATCCTAGAGTTTGGCACCCCTCAAAAATCTCTAATTCCTCTAAAGAACCAATGGAGAAAAAGTAAATTGCTCCTAATGTACCATTAGAATCTGGCCATTCTTGCCCTGATTTCTTCTGCAGATATTTTAGTATAGAAGGTATTTCCCGTGCACATTTCTCTCTCTCTCTCTCTCTCTCTCTCTCTCACACACACACACACCCATCACCCAGAAATGCTAACCGTGCATTTCTTTGCAGATCTTTCTCCCATCAGCCCCGAGATGTGTAGTTAACTGTATTCTTTTCCCATGAGGGAACCAAGAAACTCCAACCAAACTCCCAAACCCTTTCCAGCTTTATTTCTTCTCAGCGTTCTCCCCTCCCCACCCTACCCCCATGCACACAACTTGTCTGCCTTTCTCCTCCTCCCCTGTCTTCCCGCTCCTTTCCTGGAAAGCTGCAGAGCCCCCCCCAAAGGCACTGCCATGGGAGAATCTCTTCTCTACTCAGCTGCAGTTCTCTGAGGCTTCTTTCCCATCAGCTGCTACTGCCAGCAACTCCTCCCTAAAGCGCTGCAGTTCTGGCGGGGCTTTCCCTGGTGCTCCCCAATCTGCGTCGTTTGCAAAGA